AGCCTCTTTCCCACTGTCCTCCCCGAGGGACATGTGCCAATCAAAATGCCTTTGAGTGACAAACTCTGGCACCTGTGCTGGCAGTTGCCTACCCCTGTTCTGTGGCATGTCTATACTATCTCACTGATAAGCCTGGGAGCACTGCCACAAAGTGTGCCCTGCGTACGTGTTTGCTTTCACTCTGATCATGGTAATGTTGAGAACTTCAGCAGTGCACCTGGCTGAGAGGCACCCAGAGGGTGTATCCAAAGCTGTTCTCTGCAGTGTCCTGCAGGGCAGCAATTAGGCAGCAGAGCCATCTGAGGGCAGGAGTTCCAGTGCATACATACTGGGACCAGGTAGGCAGGTCATGCTTCTAGGTGGCATCCATGGGCTTGCCACAGAGACAGCATAGAGCTGCTTCTCTCTAACCTGTAAGACTTTTACTGTTGAAGTAGAGGATTGAGTTGCTGCAATGTGTATTGGGAAGCAGGGAGAAAGGAGGGAATATTTGGTGGGGGGAAAATTTGAGACCACTATAGTTCAGCTACCTTGGCAGAGAACTTGAGATGGGGATTCCAGTGTTCATGATGGGCTGAAATGCCTCATGTTGCCTGCTGTATGTTATACATTTGCAGGTGATGGCAACAAACTTTAAACATGCCTAATCAAAGTTCGAGTGACATTACGTGGGAAATAACCGAAGTGATATCACTTTCAGTAAAGATGTTTGCCAGTGTTAAGTATTACAGGCATAAAGAAGGAAAAACAAGCTAAAATGGATGCATTTCAAACTTAATTATTCACCTTTCCTTTTTCTTTTTCAGTTTCCACTATGCGATGGCTCTCACACAAAGCACAATGAAGAAACTGGGGACAATGTTGGTCCTCTGATCATCAAAAGAAAGGAAGCATAAAGTGGACAAATGGAAGCCATAACTTGTCATATTTTGTTTTGTAATTGGAGTAAATGCAGATTCTGTTTGTCATGTTACTGAAGACTTTCAAGTATAGTATACATACAACATGTTGCAGAATATGTAGTTTGTGGCACTTGTCTTGTTTGGAACACTACAATACATACGTTAAATACTCACGGCTTGAGATTATTTTGTATCTGAGTGTGTATACACTTTCATTAAGAGGTATAAAATTAAAATGACACTTCGAATGTACTTCGACCTGTACACAGAAGACAATATATTAAATTATTTTCAAATATGCGTGTTCTACTTGCAAACTTCTTAGTAGAAAGTGTAATAAACATTGCTAACAAGAAATTTTTCTGAATCGATCTCAGAAAAGAAAAATGTCACTCGGATGTAGATGTATTATGAAGGCAGTAAAAGCAACAGAAAAGGATTTATAGTGCCAATATGCAATTAACCACTGACAGACACAATGTCAGGCAGGTAATGATAAAAAATATGGACTGCAATTAAAGACTGCTGCTATTTAAATGCTGCATTTTGAACAAACATAAAAGACTTGCAGATAGACTGTGCCGGAGAATCAAATATCTAGCTTACCACTCCGAAAAAATTATGTCTATAATCTAGTTAATGGAGTTATTCACAGCAGTCTTGATTTTAGACTTAGTTCTGCACATAAGTTGTACATCTGACAGACTCCTTGAGGTGGGCTTGGGAAAGGAAGATAAGAGAAGCCTTAAGTTTTAAAGCAACATGTGTCTGTAGGCCAGAAGGTGATCTTGCAACTTGTTCCCCAACAAATTCTAAGATAAATGGCTGTTAGTGGAAGTTTGGCAGACTACTACTTGCCCCTGGAAATTTTGCTTTTTATTAAAAGTACATGGAGATTCACCCTGAAAGTGCCGTCTTGCATATCAGTCTTCACTTGTGTCGATGGCTTGGTATTCTCTTGTGGAAGAGCAAAAATCTTTGTGTAGAGAGGAAGGAGACTACTGTTCAAGGATTCTTTGTGGAGCTTGTATAACCAGTAACCCTAAGACCCCAGTATCCAAAAAGGGATGTCTTGCCAGCTAAGGAAAAAGTCTAACTTTTTTCCTTTAGTATAATGCAGTTTTTCATCTGGCTCTACCAAGTGCCTTCAGCAGTAGAGCTTTGAGTCTGGGTGAATGGGGGTAAGCATTCTGCTTATAATTGACTGATTTATGTTTGACTTTATATAGCTTAGGGGTGGGCAGTTATTTCAGGCAGAGAGTCACTTACTGAGTTTTGGCAAGCCATCAAGGGCCACATGACGGGCAGCCCAGGGCAGATGAATATTAATTTTTCTAAACTTTTTAGGGGCCCTGTGGGCTGGATAGAAGGGCTTGGTGGGCCACATCTGGCCCTTGGGCTGCGTTTTGCCCACTCCTGATATAGCTGATATCCTGAAGTCCCTTCCATGACTTGCATCTGGAATACCAAGAGTAGGGTCTCATAGAAAACACCATAATGACCCTATGGGCCAAATCTGCCCTTTCTTACACGCTGCCTAATTTCATTAAACTCAGCATAGGAGAGAGGATTTCAGCTGGATGCAAGGAAAAACATCTGATTTCTGTCACTGCTGCTCTCTATCTATTACAACTTCAACTAGTTGTCTCAGAATCTGATAGTTAACTTCTCTCTTTTTTTCTTCCTGTCTTAACCAAGTAAAAATACCAGATAGACTAATCTAGTCATTTATCAAGTTCACTGATGGGAAAACTTGGTATGGGATGCTTTGATTTCATCCTAAACAAGTTCAATCTGTTACAATACAGAAGACTACGTGGTTTGATCAAAAAGTTCTAAGACTTGATGTTCAGGGTATTGTTCATCAGGAATTTGTACCAAGTGGTCAAACAATTGATCAGGCCTTCTGTAAAGAGGTTTGGATTTGACTGAGGGATAAAGTTTGAAGAAACTGCCACGAGCTGTGTGAAAATGGTCGATGGTTTCTGCACCATGACAACGTTCCTTCACACACTGCTGTCTCCATTCAAGAATTTTTGGTGGGAAAAAAACATTCCTGTGATACCACACCCTCCACATTCACCTGACCTTGCCCCATGTGATTTCTTTTTTCTGTTCCCAAAAATCAAAATGAAGCTGAAACAAGGAGATTTGATGACATTCCAACCATCCGTAAGAATGTGAAAGCAGAACTCAAAAAACTCACAGTTGAAGACTTCCAGCATTGCTTCCAAAAGTGGCAGGAACGTTGGGACAAGTGCATAACATCTGGGGGTGATTACTTTGAAGGGGATGGCTCATAAAAATTGTTTGTACACTATTCTTTAAAATAAAGGCTAAATCTTGGAACTTTTTGATCAACCCTCGTATATTTTGGCAAATACATGATTAGGCTGATACTGGTTTTCATTCTAGGACACCTAGATTTTCTAATAAGGTAGACCCTCTCTTCCAAAGGAAAGTTAGACTACAGTCTTGTAAGTAAAAGATGGCTAAATTTAAAATTGTATGCTTGGGTCAGGTTTTTCTTGTAATATTTCCTTTTCTGTTTCCTACATCTCATTGCTGCTAAATGAATAAAATGTTATTAGAAATTTTATATCAAGTACCAATAATTAAAGTTGAACAGAAGGTTTTTAAATGAATCCAAGCCCTAAAGTTACTTCCTGGTGTTATCACTAAAGAAGTTCCTGCTATTTGGGTGTAGGTTTAATAAAAGGCTTCTCTTGGGAAGAAAAGATTCAGAGCTAGGGTCTATGCTGATTTGTATCCTGTACCATGAGATCTAAAGAAATATAATGTTTATAAACTTCAGCATAAACTAGTTATGTTTTTACTTTTTTTGTATTTGGATGAAAATAACTTTCTGATGTGTGTGGAGAGTGCCTATTTGTATTTTGAAATCAGTAGTCAAAAGAAAATCTTGTATTCTCACATGAATGTACTTATTTATCAGCAAGCTTGGCAAAGGCATCGGAGAGCATAATTTTTAAGATAACTTATTTATTCTCTCAAGGCCTGAGTGCTGCTTTCCTTTGTGATGGTTTTCTCTTGAATCTTCAATGGTACTTTTGTTACTGTAACTTACAGATTATTGTCAGAATCTCAACACTGTAATATTTGCTGTAAAGAAGGTAAACAAGACTTTCATAGAGTTCTGATTTATAGACAAATTCCTGTGCAACTTTCATGCAAATTTGAGTCCTCTTCAAGTAGTACTGCATATCTCAGAATTTTGTAGCAAGTGGACTCCCTTTCCTTTGAGAAAATTGGATTTTGCTTCCATCATTTGGATATTGTGCCCATCTTTACCTTTTTAACACCAAGCCTTACAAATAAAAAAGCTAATCTTGCATGAGTATCTAGTCATCAAAATAAGTCTCATTGTATACTAAAGCTTGCCAGGATCAAAATCTTAAAACTATGATTTTACTGTAGTTCTCTTGATGACAGATATGTCCTAGCATTTGGTTATCAGTTGAATAGAAAATAGTGAATTTATTTTGGAAAACAAGTCACTATGCAAACATTACACTAGTGAAAACTACAGTTTAAAAGGTCTGAATGTACTCTTGATGAAACATGGCAATCCCTTCATGTGTTTCAGGGGGTTTACACATAACATTTTGAAGTATACGGACTCCTCCACTAGGACAAAATAGGCTTGAGTATAAAATTCCTGAGTATCTTACAGAGCACCACCTTTACACTCTTTGAAAGCAAAAAAAATGACATGGATTGTTAAAAAATGTGTGTTGGCCTGTCTCTGGGCCCTTGCTGTAGAAATATTGCTCGGAACCGAGCAACTGAAGGTATGCACTTATGATGCTTGGAATCTAGGAATAAAATGGTGCCTGTATCATTGCAGAGCATATGGACTGGAATTTTTTTTGAAGCATGATGCAGGTGGAGAAAAGCCTGAGAAAGGGCCCATGTAAATTTTTTAAAACATTATTATTCTGATGCATCAGACTTGTTTACTATAGGAATAGTTATGTAGCTTAGTCCAACTACATTTCCTATAGTTATCAAAACTAAGGTCCATTGTAGACATAACATTTTGAATGAAATCCTGGATATATTAATATATCTTTTTAATGGTTACTGTGATATAAAGCCTGCATAGGTAGATTGCATTTGAGTAGATGAGATGGGGGCGTCAATATGTGTTTTAACTGCATATTTTGAATGGGTGTTTAAAATTTGGAACAAGCATATGGACTGTGTAAAAGGTTCTATAAATGAGCATGACTGTTACATGAGGTAGTGAGTTGCTATAACTGTAAACCTGAAATGAAAGAGAACTCTAACGGGAATTAATTAAAAGGTAATTGGCTAAAGGAACAGTTTGCAAATACATAAACTATGAAAGTGGTAACAATATCTGAGGTCTATACTCAAGAAAATTTCAAAGGAATATTGTCAGGACTGAATAAGGATTTGACTTTAAATTAATTTTAGGCAAGTATTAGAGAATTGAAACCTCTATAGAAGCCTGTAGTCATGTGTCTGAAAAAAGATAGTTACACAAACTGTGGTTAGGTGATGAAGCAGATAATCAAAGTTAGTAAATATACTGGGAAATAATGTAATGTTTTAACATTTCTAGACTTTTTTTTCCTTTTACTGCAAAGCTAAGGTTCAAAGTGCTCAATTCTTCTAAAATTTGTATACAAGGTAGAGGACAGTGAACCACTTTCTAGAGTAGCCAACTACTAAAGTTCTAGGACTTAAGACTGACCCAGATAAATTAAAATGAGTTTACCAATGTGTGAAATGGTATAGAATGTATTCACAAGAAGAACGTAACTTACATAGTTGAGGAAACCACAGTGATTTGTAATGCTGAGGCTAATTATAATTTATTAAATGTTTTAAAATGAACAAGCATAATGATTTAAGAAATAACTAACCTAACTGTATGCATACTCAGAACTATTCCTAAAACTAGCTACTTCTACTGTGTGAATGGAGGGCAAAACCGTTTTAAGTGCAAGTAAATTTAAACAATTCTAAAGGGAGGGCTTTAGAGCTGAAGAATCCTATTCCCAGCTAAATGCTAAAGAAAGGCTATAAAATACAATAGAACTGACAATTATAAAATATTCAAGTGTAATTGAAAATGAATGGAGTATTTTTGTTTTTAAGTACAGGATGGATGTTTCTGCTGTAACGATTCCTCCACTAGGGTGAAACAGTCTCTAGTCAGCTAAAATTCATGACTGTCCTACAGAAAGTACATCACCTTCACACTCTTTGAAAGCAAAAAAAAATAATATAACTTGTTCAAAAATAAGTG